ACAGCAACTAGAAGGATGTGCAGCTATGACATACAACTATCTACTGGGGCTTTGGGGGGAAAAAATAAATAAATAAAATCTTTAAAAAAAAAAAAGGATGAAGAAACTGAGACTATGGGGGGAGGTAAAGTGACTTGCTCAAGGTCGCACAGCCAGTAATAGTGCTAGGCCTAGAACCTAGGTTGCCTAACTTCTCATCTAGTGCTCTCCCATACTTTTTCACTTGACTGTGAAAACATTACTTGAAAGAATGATGAGGTCGGCCAGAGACCTGATTGATAATGTAACTTTCTATTTTAAGGAAGAATTTTATCTGTATTTCTTTGAGTTCTTTGGAGTCTCCAGTCTGCCTGTTGGTAAACCATCACAGCAGTGCTCCGTAGTGCAGCCGATCTGTGACAGGAAAGTCGTGCTCATGTTTGGAAGTCGTGCTCCTTTGCAGCCACACAGGATCTCCTGTCAGTTACATATCAATAGTCAATCTGGGGTCACATTATAGATGCCTTATTTCCGTAAGGGTAACTGTGTCTGGTCTCTGCAAATAAGATGAATCTGTTTTTCAGAGTTTCCATCTTTCATTTTTCAAAGAGAAAAATAGCAGCTGATCCCAAGAGAGGAGAAAATGGCTAGTCACCATATAAAAAGTCTCCTCTTTGGGATCCCCTCTAAAGGAGTATCTGGGACAGGGTTGACGCACTGGAGAGGCAATAGGTCTAGACAGAATAGAATGATAACTAGAGAGGGAGGATAAACTGGGGTCCCACTTGCTGTTGTAAAGATTTCTGACATTTAATTCTCAATACTTGATTCATGTTTTCCAAGGCAAATAGTGGCACATGTGGTCTGACTACAGCATAGAGAATTTTCAGTGAAATATCTTGCCATTCCTGCAGTAATAGTGTATTGTCCCTCACAGTGGCTAAAGTCTTCTACTTTTTGCAGAGATAAATAAGAGTCTAGTAATGGAAGTCCATGATGAGTGGCTTCTTTCTAGTCAAAGTGGTACAATGCTGATCTATTTTATCATCTTGCATGTTAAAAAAAAGCCTTCTGAGCAAAAACGTATTGTAATATAGCACAAAAAAGGTCACGATTGATCCAGGGATTCCTTGGAAATATCAGTTCCTATCCCTTTTAAAATCTGATTTTGTTTTTTTCTGTTCTATGTATATTTATAGTGAGAGCACAATAAATTGCAGAACATGGTGCCAAATGCCATAGGTAAGGGATACAAAAGTGAATGGTTTTTGTTGCGAAAGTGTTTTTCACGTGATATTATATAAGCGCATTAAAAAAATCTCTGTTTCAGCAATATAGGTAGGTTAGCTTTGCCTGGGAAAACGAGTTTAAAAACACCTGGTCAGAGTAGCATTTCTCCTCCAGAGAATCAGTTCATCATGAGCTGACTGCTCTGCTCCCTGAAAGGATAAAGTGTCTGAGGTACTTACTTCTCCACAGATTGTTGAGTATCAAGGAATGAAGGACTACAGATTATTTGTAATAACCTTTGATTATGGAGCTTAGTGAGGGAGTGGGTGTACTTGGCAATTCCAGGGCCCTCTGATCTCTAGATCTTAAGCAGCCGTATCTGAACCCAGATCTTACAACACTGAGTCCCATTATTGAACCAGACTGTGTAGGAGGCATCTATTATCAAAGTTTACCTGTCACCTGTAGGTGTCTTCTGATAAGAAAGAAGATCGGTCATTTTAATCTCTTGGGATAATCACAGAAAATCAAAGCCCATACTCTTTATTACTGAATTCAAGTTTAAAGAGATTCTTTGTTTTAAATTAAGGTGGTTCTTGATCCCAAACATTAATTTGGTCATTTTTCCTAGTTTGGAGTTCTGGGAAATAACCTTGAAAACCCCATGTGATTCTGCAGCGTTAGGTCTGGAGTGACCGTTTGGACAAAGCACCAATGGCAATCCTTTATTGTGTTTTGCATTTCATGGGATTTGTTGACATGAGAATTCACTGTGATGGTGCTGTCTTCTGACCAGCGTCAGGCAGCTCTGCTTTTAATTTGGTTAATTTAATTCTCTCTGAAGAGGGAAAAGAGGCAACAATTTAATCTTTGCCTCCACAGGCATATTAAATCTCCTGTGTTAATTCGTTCTTGCGCTCCGATGTTAAATGCCTTGGGTAAATGGATAAATGGACATGTGCTTAGCTTTAATTTTTTTGCAACAGAAAGATCAAACTTCCATATGGCATTGTTAGGTTTCAGAGGCTTTCTGGTGTTTTGGTAAATCTAGATGACTGTTGCCTTTAATTTTTCCAATATTTATAACCGTGTGATTCATGCTACAAATGAAATCAGGAAGCAGTACAGTATGGAAGCAAGAGTATTGCCCAATTCATTTGTCTTCCTGATACATGTACTTTATTTCATGTGTCAGTGTTTACATTACATACTTGTATTTTCTGTGAAAGAAAAAGTTAAATAAATCTTGGCAGTTTGATTTTCCTTTTCTTAAGGTGGTATTTTCTCTTTTGCTTTTAGCTTTTAAGTCTTTGGTGGAGATTGGAAACTGAAGGAGCTTAGCTCCTTCCATCTCCCCCACTACCACCCTTCAATGTATAGACCTGTCTTCTACAGGCTAAATAGCTCAGAATGTTTATTCTGAAAACTCTAGGAAGAAGTCTTTGGGAAACCCAGTGAGGGTTAGTTTTATTTTACTTGTGGAAAAACCAAGCACAGTAGGAATTACTCAACGTGCCAAAGTTGTGCCTAAAAGATAGTTTCGGGGTCCATCTTAGGTTTTTGGATTAAGAATCTCTGGACTGTGAGAGTCTTAATATTCATAGAAATGAGGATCTAGTAATGTCTCACATTTAGGTTGTCCCCATTTGGCGGAGGCTGTCAGGAGCAATAAAACTTTTTTGTGAATGAATTCCTAACGTCATTCCTATACTTTGCACCTTATAACCAGTAGCTCTAGTAGCCGTCTGGTTTTAAAACATCCATTCGTTATCAGTTTTCTTCCCATGGGACCCAAAATCCCCATGAAACTTGGTTTGATTCATTTCTCGCAAGTTATTTTAGAGAAGGATGCTTTATTATATAATTCCAGGAGGAGCAGTCCACAGCCTTAGTGAATTTCTTTTCTTATGTCTAGAAGGTCATCCTTCTCTCTGTTTGCTACTCTTACTTTGAGGGTCAGCTCGAGTCTCCTCTCCTCTATGAAGCCTATTTACACTTCAGACTCCTGCGATTACTTCCTTTCCTGAACCCTCTTGAGTACCTAGTGTCTTTACTAATGGCGTAGAACCTTAACATGTAACCCCTGACACCTGTCTCTCACGGACATTTTTGGCACTTCTAGGAACAAAGACCATGTCACACTTCTCTGTATTCCCAGTGCTCCACACAGTTCCCTGATCATTTTGGTACTGTACATGTTTATTGACAATGAAGACAGTAAAAAGAAACCTGCAACTAATAAACAGCTGTTGCTTTCAATTTAGCAGATTTTTAGACACAGAAAATACAGCAAGTCCTAAGTCCTGTAGTACTCAAAGGGCAATTTGGAAGATGTGAATGAGGCTCAATATTGTATATATTTTAGGAATTTTCCTGAAGTACACAGGCTTTCACACAAAGATAGATTCCTCAGAGTACCTTCTAAAAAGAGATTGGGTACCTTTATTGATTTTTTTTTTTCCTGAGGAAGATTAGCCCTGAGTTAATATCTGTGCCAGTCTTTGTCTATCTTGTATGTGGGTCGCCACCACAGCATGGCTGATGAGTGGTGTAGGTCTGTGCTCAGGATCTGAACCTGCAGACCCGGGCCACCGAAGCAGAGCATGCCAAACTTAACCACTACACCACGGGGCCAGCCCCAAATATTTCTATTATTACTTGATTTTGGAGGGTCAGACTTAGCCCAGGAGACCTGAATGAGTTTAGGGCAGGAAGCCTCTCCCCCAGGTGTGAGGAGGTGCTCCATTCCTGCTAGCTACATTGCCCTTCTGGGAAAAGGAAGTCTCATTGCAGGATGACTTTGTAGTTATATATTCAAATTCAATAATACCAAGTAGCCAGTGATTTTTTAAAACTGGAAGCTGTTTTAGCTCTCTTCAGCTGTGGAGTTCAGCATGGACTTGACATTGAAACAAATTGTAACCAACAGATTTGATAAATGAAATGAGGGAAATTCAGATAAGGGATATGAGATTACAGAGTTGTAGTAACACGGACAGACTAGGAACTCCTATTGTAGCTTTTTAGAATAAATAGCTTATGATTAAGTTAACAAGTTAAATAGCATTTTACCTGGGTATGAGCTTTTTGATTTTTAATTTTAAGTGAATCTTAATATATTTTCATAAAATTTTTCAAGGTGATAGGGTTTTTTGTTTTTGCTTCTAGTTTCTGGGATGCTTGTTCTC